ACCTTTGGGAGATAATTCATTTTGAAAATTGATAAATAATCAAATGTTTATTCTACCCTCTCTCTATGAACTATATGGAGATGAGGGGAAATGTCCCTTTATAAGAGTATTATAAGTAATAAAAAGAGATGATAAAATTAAAATACCACCATTTTGCAAACCCCAATGAATTGATGTAGTCAGCCATTAAACATCAATGACTACTAACATCACAGAAAGACACAGTCAGACTTATCCCTCTCCTGATGACAGAAGACAGTACTGCCTGTAATCTTGCCAAATGCCAATTTGCACAAAATATAAAGGACAAAGAAACATGTTGAACTCCACTGTGAGTATGCAATCAACAAAATTCAGACTCAGAAACTCGACGGTCTGGGTTCTTCAACAGATAAGTTGTCAGAAAAATAAAAGAATAGAGTAAATTATTGTAGTTTAAAAGAGACTTTAAAAACATATCAAATCTTATTTAAATACAAAAGCAAGGCTAGTTTTAACAAATACGCCACAGTAATATAAGATTATGCCATTAGGGGAAGCAGAAATTGGGGGAGGGCTGTAGGGGAACTCTCTACTATCTTTGCAACATTTCTATAAATATAAAATTATTCCGAAATAAGAAAGTTTATTTAAAAAAGAGTGCCTGGGCAGCTAAGCTGAGCATCCAACTCTTGATTTTGGCTCAGAGCATGATCTCAGGGTTCATGGGATTGAGTCCCCCATCTTGGGATTGTCTCTGCCTCTGTCCCTCCCCTGCTCATAATCTCTTTCTCTCAAAAATAAAAAAATTCAAACTTAAAACAAAACAAAAAGAATGCTGTGGAGGGAGGGGGGAATAATAAGTGTTGGCAAGGATATGGAGAAATCATAGTCCCTATATTATTATGCTGGTGGTAATGTAAAGCGATTACAGACACTTTGCAAAGCAGTCTGGCAGTTCCTCAGAAGATCAAACATAGTTACCAGAGACCCACAATTCCAGCTCCCAGGTACACTCCCAAAGGAATTAAACATTAAAATATGTACACAAATGTTCAAAATGGTATTATTCATAATACCCAAAAAGTAGAAACAATCAGAATGTCTATCAACTAATGAATGGATAGAAAAAATGCGGTATATCCATAGAGTGGATACTATTCAGCTGTAAAAATAAATTAAGTACTGGGGCACCTGGAAGGCTCATTCAGTTGAGCATCCTACTCTTGATTTCCACTTGGGTCATGATCTCACAGTTTTCGAGACTGAGACCTCACATCAGGTTCTTCACTGAAAGCACGGAGCCTGGCTGGGATTCTCCCTCTCCCTCTCTCTGCCCCTCCTCCTAACTCGCTATTGATCTCCCCCTCTCTCTCAAAATAAATTAAAAAGAAAAAAAGCAATGAACTACATGCTACATGCATGCTGATACATGCTACAACATGGATTACCCTTGAAAATAATATTTAAAGTGAGAGAAATCAGTCCCCAAAAAATACATATTGCATAATTTCATTTATATGAAATGTTCAGAATAGCAAACCCATAAAGAATGAAAGGAGATTGGTGGTTGCCTAGGTTCTGGAAGACTTGGCAGGAAATGGAGAGTGACTGCTAATGGATACAGGGTTCCTTTTTTGGGGTGATAAACATTTTTTAAAATTGAATGTAGTAATGATTGCACAACTTTGTGAATATACTAAAAGCCAGTGGATTGTACATTCATTTATTTAAAAAATTTATTTTTTAAAAAATTTTTATAGTTTATTTATTTTTGAGACAGAGACAGAGCATGAGTGGGGGAGGGGCAGAGAGAGAGGGAGACACAGAATCCAAAAAAGGCTCCAGGCTCTGAGCTGTCAGCACAGAGCCTGACATGGGGTTCGAACTCAGGAACCGTGAGTTATGACCTGAGCCAAAATGAATAGCTCAACTGACTGAGCCACCCAGGAGCTCTTGAATTGTACAATTGAATTGGGTGAATTTTATGGTATGTGAGTCATATCTCAAAAAAAACTGTCATCACAAAAGGGTAGATTAAACTAAGTAGATATACTTAAGGAAGCAGATAAAACTATAAAGAAATATAAAGAACTGAATATAATAAAAGTCAACAACATCATGGTTACTTTTGGGACAAGGGAGAGTGATAAAATTCGAATAGGGAACATGAAGAGCCTTTTGGGGAGGCAGAAAAAATTTTTTTTAATTCAAGTATAATTAATATAGTATTATATTAGTTTCAAGTATATAATATGATTCAATAATCCTATACACTACTCATTGTTCATCATAAGTGTTTCTTAATTCCCTTCACCTATTTCATCCATCCTTTCATCCAAAAATTCTATTTTTTGACCTGGTGGTAAGACTATACATTTGTTGTGCTGAATTTTCTGTCACCTCTTTGTTGTTTTACAATAAAAAAATTTTTTTTAAAGATTCACTAGTAAATTTATTTCAGACATAATGTAAAGTACCTAATTTACCATGTACAAGTCCTCAATTTTGGCTCTGTGGAATACAAGAGATTATAACTGTTCTCGAGGATCCTACCTTTCAGCAGGAAGCATTTCTTTTTAAAAAGAGCTAGAACTAGACCATATTAAATATTAACTGGCCCCAAATTTACACACAGTGAAGAAGAAGATTTAGAAAGGGATATGATTTGGGGCAAGGGTTAGGAATAGGGAGTGCATGAGAAGAGTAATTTAAGATATCATGAAGAGAGGGTAAAACTGGGACATAGATCTTATGGAAGCTATATTTACTGAGTATTTATTATATTTTAACCTTTTTCATTCATTAAATTATTTAATCCACACCACAAACCTATGAAGCCTTCCTATTATTATTTCCATTATACAGATAAAGTAACTGAGGCACAGAGATGGTGTATGTAGGGATCAGTGGAAAGCACTGTTTAAAAGGTATTCAGGGTGGGGCGCCTGGGTGCCTTAGTTGGTTAAGCGTCCGACTTTCGCTTAGGTCATGATCTCACGGTTCGTGGGTTCGAGCCCCGTGTCGGGCTCTGTGCTGACTGCCATCTCAGAGCCTGGAGCCTGTTTCAGAGTCTGTGACTCCCTCTCTCTCTGACCCTCCCCTGCTCACACTGTCTCTCTCTCTCCTAGAAATAAATAAAAAAAAAATTTAAAAAAAAGAATATAGCTAGTTTGTTATAATTTTGATTTATAGGCAATAATAAATATATACTTAAAAAGTGTTCAGTGAAAACCTCTAGCTGCAAAAGGGTATGAATGGTATGATTTGAAATACTTTTGGGCATTAAAAAGAGTGCTATTAGTGGTATGTTAGGACAATGAGTNGCTTCAGATTCTGCGTCTCCCTCTCTCTGCCCCTCCCCCACTCATGCTCTGTCTCTGTCTCTCAAAAATAAATAAACATTAAAACTAAATTTAAAAAAAAAAAGAAAAGGTGGGGCGCCTGGGTGGCTTAGTCGGTTAAGCATCCGACTTTTGCTTGGGTCATGATCTTGCAGTTCGTGGGTTCGAGCCCCGCGTCAGGCCCTGTGCTGACTGCCAGCTCAGAGCCTGGAGCCTGTTTCAGAGTCTGTGACTCCCTCTCTCTCTGACCCTCCCCTGCTCACGCTGTCTCTCTCTCTCCTAGAAATAAATAAAACATTAAAAAAAATTAAAAAAAAAAAGAAAAGGTACTCAGGGGTGACCTTGGGCCAATTAGTTTACCTTTCTGTGCTTTATATCCTCTTATTTTAAATGGGGATGATAAGGGGGATGGGCAAAATGAGTGTAGGAGAGTAGGAGATACAGGCTTCCAGTCACAAAATGATTCAGTCATGGTAATAAAAGGCACAGCATAGGGAATGTAGTCAATGATATTATGATTAATATTTTAAGGTAACAAATGGTAGCTACAGTTGTAGTGAGGTTAGTATGACATAAACAGATATTGAATTGTTATGTTGTACACCTGAAACTAATGTACTATTGTGTGTCAACTATTTTCATTCTTTTTTTTTTAAGATTTTACTTTTAAGTAATGTCTACACCCAACATGGGATTTGAACTCACAACCCTGGGAACAAGAGTTGCATGCTCCAATGGCAGAGCTGGCCAGGTGCCCCGCAACTATTTTCAAATAAAAAATGTTTTCAATAAAATATCCATATTATCATTTATAAGATTTTTTTTAAATAAAATAAAATGGGGATGATAACAGCAGCACCTTATCACAGGGCTGTTGAGAAAATTAAATTATTTGAGGCGTCTGGGTGGCTCAGTTGGTTAAGCATCCGACATCGGCTCAGAGAAAATTAAATTATTTAATGTACGTAAAGTATTTAGAACAGTTCCTGGCCATGAAGTTAATACTCATTAAAGTTAGATATTATTGTAAGAACACAATAACGGTTTCTAGGAAAAATGTGTGAGAATTATCCATGTTTCTACCCCACTGTCAGTTCTTGTATTAAGTTGGATCTCTTGGTCCCTTTATGTACATCAAGAACTTATTTACATATTAGAATGCCATTACATATACTGTTTCTACTGCTTCACGATAGACTGAGACGATGCTACTTTCTAAGGTATCTAGAAGAGCACAATTCAAAAATTATTCAACAGACTTTGTAAAGAGGGTGCCATATTCTGGAAAAGAGGAAACTTGGTAGTTCCAATGGTAACATTGGCAGAGTGAGGTAAATGATTCTGAAATCTTTGCAGAATGTAGAGGCTAAAGATAAAAAAGCGTAACTCTGCCAAGGTGGGGGCACAGCTTAAAGCAAGCACAGATACAGCCTGAGGGATGTCGGCACAGGTCACCTGGGGTTGGAGCCACTCAGCAGCACAGGACAAGCGTGGTAACATCATTATCTAGCAGGGCAGTTCCCTACAGGGTCTGTCTGCACTGTTTAGAGGCATCCCTTTCTTATCTCCAACCCAGAAGCAGAAGGCCAATGGTGTCAGTAGAAGGGGTGACAGATACACAATGCGAAAAAAAGAGATGGCCAGGAAAGGCCAGACAGGATCCCAAAATATACGTACTTTCCATAAAAGGTATCTTTCAATACTAATTCTGGAGCTCTATACCAGCGTGTGGCCACATAGTCCGTATAAATGTCCCCAGGAGCTGCTAGAGTTCGTGCAAAACCAAAATCACAGAGTTTAGTAATTCCTGACTGGGATACTAAAATATTCTCAGGTTTTATATCTCGATGAATGATCTAAAAAACAAACAGAAGATGCAATACATTAAAATGAAGTTTCATTATCTAGAGGATCACTCAAAAATTACAGAGATACTCTAGCTAACTAAGACAGTAAAGCTATTTTCTTACTGCAGGCAAAGGATTAACTGCACAATGCAAAAGCTAAATAGGTACGTATTTTCAATTCTTGTCATCTCAAAATGAAATGAAGTTAAGAAAACAGATATAATACTAAAAAGGTAAATCACATTCCTAAAAAGAAAACAAGTTAACTTTCCTTTAAACCTGTGTCATTCTAGATACAACTGCCCCTTCTCTCATTCCTTCACAGCTAAAACTCTTCAAGGTATTATCATTACTAAGTCTTTCTTTCTTATCACTCATTTATTCCTTAAAGTAATACAGTCATTTGTTCCCACATTCTATCAGATTGCCCTAAATCTCTCAATACATATCTTATTTGATACCTTAGAGTAAAAATGTTGCCAACTACTCCTCCCTTCCTGATTTCTAGGACCTATAATTCTCCCAGTCCCTTCCATTTTAGTGGCAGTTCCTCTTTCTCTATTCGTCTCTTAAATGTAGGATTCTGGTCTCGGGCTTTCTTTTCTCATACATTGCATTCCCTGGGCAATCACATCTACTCACTGGTTTTTTTACTTTATTTATCATGGAGACACCATATTCTCTTGGCTTTCTTCCCACCTATTGGCTGGTCCATCTCAGTCTCATCTACACTTCTAGCTTAGTAGCTAGCAATATACTGATGATTTCCAAATTTCTATTTCTAACCAAGATATGTCTCCTGATTTCCACAAGGAGTGAAAGTCTCCAAGAAGTCTGACAAGGTTGACCCATACATCCCTCAAACTTACCAAATCCAAAACTGAATGCTTCATTTTCTCCCTGAAACCTATTTGTTTTCAACAGTCCTTTAGTTCCGCAGATGAAACAAATATTACCCCACGGCTCAAGTCAGAAACCAAAGTATTTTTCTCCTTCAGCTCCCATATTTACTTCTATACTTAGTTCAAGTCCCCTCAACTCTCTCACCAAAATTGCTACATTGCTAGTTGGTCTCCCTGAATTCATTCTGATCCCCTCCAATCCAGTCACAGTACTTTTTATTTTATTTTAGAGAGAAAGATCATGAGCAGGGGAGAGGAGCGGGGCGGGGGGGGGGGGGGGGCGGAGAGAGACAGAGACAGAGACAGAGAGAGAATCTCAAGCAGGCTCTATGTTGTGCAGGGCTCGAACCCATGACCCTGGGATCATGACCTAAGCCGAAATTAAGAGCCAGACACTCAACTGAGCCATCCAGTTGCCCTCACATACTATTTTAAAATCACATGTGTGGAAGCACTGGGTGTTATATGGAAACGAACTTGACAATAAACTATTAAAAAAATAAAATAAAAAAAAATCACATGCGTGGGGCACCTGGCTGGCTCAGTGGGAAGAGCATGTGATTCTTGGTCTGAGGGTCATGGGTTCGAGTCATGGGTGTAGTAATTACTAAAAAAAAAATAAACCTTAAAAAAAGTACATGTGTAATCATGTCACTTCTCTGCTTAACATTCTCCAAGGATTTCCCATCCACAGAACAAACTTGAAACTCCTTAAAATGGCTTATAATGCCCTCTAGAGTTTGGTCCTCCCTTCCCTAGCCTGTAGAATTAGTTTCCCAGTTTTCCAAGGTTTGTCTCATCTCTGTGCATTTGCTGATGCTGTTCCAACTGCCTAGAACACTTTGCCTGGCCATCTATTTCCTTAGGTCATAGCTTAGATATTCATATAGCAATATAAATTTATATTAGTATTTAAGTAATCTCTATATCCAACCTGGGGGTTGAACTTACAACCTCGAGATCAAGAGTGACAGGCTCCAATGACTGAGCCAGCCAGGTGCCCCTATTTAATGATATTTTTTATTTCAATTTCTCATTGTTGATTGCCAACATGTGTTCTCACATCATTCTTTACTTCCCCCATTACATTATTTGTCATGTTATATGATTAGTTGCCTGTAACTCCCGCTAGACTGTAAATGCCATGAGGCAAGATGTCTGTCTTATTCAAGCTATATCCCCAGGGACCAGTACAGTGCCTAAAGCAAAGAAAGCATTTAAAAACCTTATGAATGAAACATATTCTCATCACTAACAAAGTATCATAGCACCAGTGAAAATATCTCAGTGACAGATATCTGGGATCTTTCCTTGTTTATACGACTCACTGCTATAAGCCTTTGGGATTTGCTCTTGTTCTCCCACAGTCTCCCTCCTTAAGTGGCTAAAACATTAACTTGGAGTAATGAGTCACCTTAAATGTGCCATCTACAAAACTATATTAATCCTTTGTTAAAGTTTATTCATTTGTCGGTGGGGGAGGGGAAGAGAGAGGGAGAGACAGAATCCAAAGCAGGCTCCATGCTCTCGGCACAAAGCCCCATGCGGGGCTCAGTCTCACCAACAGTGAGTTGAAATCAAGAGTCAGATGCTTAACTAACTGAGCCACCCAGGCACCCTATACTAATCCTTTTTTATTTCTACATCTTTTTTGAATGACTAGTACATGCTAAGCGCTATGCCAAGATCTAAGGATATAACATGAGAAAAGCTGATGTGGAAAAGCACATTAAGATACCACTTCCCATATTCTGCCCACCAGACATCCACCTCCTCAGTCTTTTAAAAACAAAGCAGAGGGGCACCTGGGTGGCTCAGTAGGTTAAGTGTCCAACTTAGGCTCAGGTCATGATCTCATAGTTCGTGGGTTAAGTCCCACATCGGGTTCTGTGCTGAAAGCTCAGATTCTGTGTCTGTTTCAGATTCTGTGTCTCCCTCTCTCTCTGCCCCTCCCCCACTTGTGCTCTGTCTCTGTCTCAAAAATAAAAAAAAATTAAAATTAAAAATGAAGCAGAAAGATCCACGCAGTCAATACCCTAATATTTTCATTCTATTCAACAACTAATACCATGACAACATGTGTAATTTTGTTATCATTGAGAACCACACACACTCTAAATCCCTATTTTTAAAACCTGTGTTTGACTGCATCCTCCTTGGCCTTCCACTATCACACTGTGACCTCCATAAATTTCTATTTGTTTAGGTCTTCTTTAATTTCTCTCAATCTTTAGTAATATTCAGCTTATAGATCTTGTATATCTGTTGTCAGATTCTAACTCTTTCATATTTTTGAAGCTGTTTAATGGTATATATTTTTAAGATTTTATCTGTAAGTAATCTCTACACCCAACTCAGGGCATGAACTTACAACCCTGAGATGAAGAGTCTCCAGGCTCCACTGACAGAACCAGCCAGGTGCCTCTATTTAATGGTATTCTTTTTATTTTTTATTTTTGTTTAATGTTTATTTCTGAAGGAGAGAGAGAGACAGAGTATGACTGGGGGAGGAGCAGAAAGGGAGACACAGAATCCGAAGGCAGGCTCTAGGCTCTGAGCTGTCAGGACAGAGCCCGATGCGGGTCTTGAATCTGCAAACTATGAGATCATGACCTGAGCTGAAGTCAGACGCTCAACTGACTGAGCCACCCAGGTGCCTCATGATATTCTTTATTTCAATTTCTGATTGTTGATTGCCAACATATAGAAATATAATTAATTTTGGTATATAGATCTTATATCCCACAACCTTGATAAATTTACAAATTAGTTCTCTTAATTTTACTGTATATTCCATAGGATTTTCTATATAGGTGATCATATCATCTGTAAATAAAGACAATTTTACTTCTCAAAAAAAAGGCACCATTTCACACCCACTAGAATGGCCTCAATCAAAATGACAAATAACAAAACAAAAAATTAATTTAAAAAGCACTATATGCTAACTTGGATGTAAATTTTTAAAATTAATAAAATTTTTAAAAAATTACAAATGACAAATATTGGGGAGGAAGTATATTGTTGGTGGAGATGTAAAATGATACAGACACTTTGGAAAACAGTTTGACAATTTCTTTAAAAAGTTAAAGCATAAAACCTATGACATATATGGTATTTCTTTTTTATGTAAGCTCTACACCCAACATGGGGCTTGAACTCATTACCCCCAAGATCAAGAGTCATAGGCTCTACTGATGGAGCGAGCCAGTCACTGCTTCCCATATAGTTTTTTTTTTTTTATTTAATAAAGTTTTATTTTCCAAAATGTACAGTTGGTGGGATCTGTTCATGCATCTTCACCGGCAGCTGGGGCATCTCCACCCTTGGTGTTTCTGGTGTAAATTACTTGGGCTCTGTGCTTTGAAACCAGTTTAATAAGTCCTTTACTAAGGAGCTCCTGAAGCGCTGCCCTGGCCAGGGAACCTCGAATCTCAGTCTCTCAGAAACAACAGCTGGAGTTATAAGCTTATAATTGGGAACTTCCTTACAGAGTTTGTCGTATGTTGCTTTGTCAAACAAGACCAGGTTATTGAGCTTGTCGCGAACTTTGCCTTTGGACCACTTCTTCTTTTTGGCCTTGCCTCCAGATTTATTCACTGGATCTTTGTCTTTTTTGGCCGATTTCCCGGCATCTTTCTTCTTCTTATCGTCCTTGGGCGGCATAGCTAAGCTCAGAGAGCAGCGGCCACCCCTGCAACCTCGCTAAGATGTCGGACAAAAAGGAAGCTCCCATATAGTATTCTTAACTGGCCTTATTTTACTTTCTTCTTTCTAGCTCCTGGTACCTTTGTAAACCAGCAGTCCCCAGAATCATGGTGAAAACCAGAAGCCTAGCAGCCATCATAGAAAGGACAGTGTTGTATCTCCTCCAAGCCTCCTTTCCCAGGTAACTGTCATTATTTTCCCTGTCTGACAAGTCACTAAAAATCCCACTAGAAGCCTTGCATTTATTTGATAAAATGTGGAGCTTGCCCAGTGCAAAAAGCCCATCTTCTGGGGCCTTGGTCAGAAATAATTAGCACACTATAATTAGAATACTAAAAAGAAAGCAGAGAGACAACTCATAGGAGAAAATATTTGCAAATTCTATACCTGATAAGTATC